CTTCCTGCTTCCCTCTCCACTTTTAACTATGTATTCGAAGCTCAGAACCAAGTGGTCACTAGCCCCAAAGGGTCTTTCATATGTGATATCCTCAATATCTGCACTACTCAAGGTGAATACTAGGCCCAGTCTTGCTGGTTCATCCTCTCCTCTCTCTCTCCAGTAGTGTCCCAAATGTATTGATACAAGAAGTTTCCCAGTACCACCTTCATCATCTTAGCCCTCCACGTTTCTGGGCCCCCATGTCGCTCCAGGTTCTCCCAGTCGATTTCCTTGTAATTGAAGTCACTCACAATCAGCAGCTTTGCCCTGCTCGCATGAACCCTTTTGGCCACTTCAGCCAGTGTGTCAACCAGTGCTCTATTACTTGAGCCTTCTGGCCACATCAGCCAGTGTGTCAACCATCGCTCTATTACTCTCATAATACTCTTGCCTTGGCCTCCTGCTGTTCTGTGGTGGGTTATACATCACTGCAATTACTACCTTCGAACCTTCAGACTGAAGTGTTCCTATTATGTAGTCTCTTGCTTCTCCTCTGTCTCCTCTCTCCAGCTCATCAAAATCCCAATGGTTTTTGATGACCAGTGCCACTCCTCCACCCCCTCTGTTACCTCTGTCTTTCCTCAGGATCTGATATCCCAGTGGAAAGACGGCCTCTGTTATCATTCCTGTGAGCTTGGTTTCTGTAAGAGCTATGATGTCTGGTGATGCCTCTTCGATGGTTTCGTGCCACTCCTTCCACTTATTTGTTATTCCATCAGCGTTTGTGTACCATACCTTCAGTTTCCTCTCCAACACCATGTTCTGGGGGTCTGTGGGGGTGGGGGACCTGGCAGTGTGCTGTGGGATTCTACAGCATAGTGTGGGGTGGGGGAAGTAAGTGTGGATTATGGGTTGTGTTGGGATAGCTTATTTGGTTGTGGGGTTCTGGGGTGGTTGTGTGTGTGCTTGTTGCTCTGCCCTGCTCTGGTTGTCCTCTGCTCTGTCCTTGTCTCTTTTGTGCCCTCTCCCTCAGTTGCTGTCATTCTGTTCTTGTTCTGTCATGGTCTAGGAACACCCTCTTGTATGCTGATGATTCCTTCATCTGTGGTTTCTCTTGCAGGGTCCTGTTCTGCACCATTTCTGTCTTGAAAATCAGTTTCACCGGCCAACCTCTCCCCTTCAAGTATCCCCCTATTCTCTGAAAATTTACTATCTCAGTCACATCCCCCTCACCTATTTCTTTGATGTTTTCAATCTCTTGTTCTTCCTGCCATCTTTCATTGTGTGTCCTCTTATTCTCCTGAAGCCTATGAATATACAATGACGTCTCCCTTTCCTTCCCCCATTGCCTTACCACTGTGTCTGTGGGTCCCATTGGTACATGGCCATTGTCTCCCTTATTTTTTCATGTAATTCTTGGCGGCATGGTTGTGCCTCTGCATGGGACCTATCCCCTTCTCCCCCTTCCCTTACTGCTATACCTGCTTCCACAGCTCTCCTCCTTCCTTCCTCGGACCTACTTGGTGGACTGATAGGGCCTTAGTGTAAGTCATGTCTCCTTCCTTTCTGTTGGGATCCTCATTCAGTAGGGGTGTACCTGCTTCAAATGCCCTGGTCTCCTCAGGGCAATAGCCTTCTAACTTGCTTCAGCATATTTATCTCATTCTAGAGCCCAGCCTCAGGTTGCGTCCTCCCATTTTGTCTTCTCTTCCTCCATTCTCTTCTCCATTTTCGCAGAAAGCTCACCTAGTTTGCTCTCACGCTCTTGTTCCATCCTTTTATATTGCTATCCTCTTCACATGCCCATTCTTCCTCAAGAAGCCATTTCCTAGTATTCCTGTAGCATTACTTCGTCTGAGCCATGTTCTTTGGCTTTTTGTTTGTGTGTGTGTGTTTGGTGTATGTGTGTGTGTGTTGGTGTGTGTGTCGTGGTTGTGTTGTGTGTGTGTTGTTGTGTTGTGTGGTGTGTGTGTAGTGTGTGTTGTGGTGTGTGTGTGTGGTGTGGTGTGTGGGTGTGTGTGTGTGGTGTGTGTGTGTGTGTGTGTGTGTGTGGTGTGTGTGTGTGTGTGTGGTGTGTGGTGTGTGTGTGTGGTGTGTGTGTGTGTGGTGTGTGTGTGTGTGGTGTGGTGTGTGTGTGTGTGTGTGTGTGTGTGTGTGTGTGTGTGGTGGTGTGGTGTGTGTGTGTGTGGTGTGTGTGTGTGGTGTGTGTGTGTGTGGTGTGTGTGTGGTGTGTGTGTGTGTGTGGGTGTGTTGTGTGGTGTGTGGTGTGTGTGTGTGGTGTGTGTGGTGTGTGTGTGTGTGGTGTGTGTGGTGTGTGGTGTTGTGTGTGTGTGTGTGTGTGTGTGTGTGTGTGGTGTGGTGTGTGGTGTGTGTGTGGTGGGTGTGTGTGGTGTGTGGTGGGTGGTGTGGTGTTGTGGTGTGTGTGTGTGGTGTGGTGTGTGTGTGTGTGGTGGTGTGGTGTGTGTGGGTTGTGTGTGTGTGTGTGTGTGTGTTGTGTGTGGTGTGGTGTGTGTGTGGTGTGTGTGTGTGTGGTGTGTGTGGTGTGTGGTGGTGTGTGGTGGTGTGTGTGGTGTGTGTGTGTGTGTGTGTGTGGTGGTGTGTGTGTGTGTGTGTGTTGTGGTGTGTGGTGTGTGTGTGTGTGTGTGTGTGTGTGTGTGTGTGTGTGTGTGTGTGTGTGGTGTGTGTGTGTGTGTGTGTGTGTGTGGTGTGTACATCGGTTGCCAGGCAGGGAAACCCCCATAAGTGGGGAAAATCAAAAGCATGGGGAGAAAAAATGTTAAATAAGGAGGAGGGGGGACACAATGAAATATTTTTCCATGGGGGAAGGGGCGGTTACAAACGGGGGAATTTTATTTCCTTTGTATTTAGTACTTTCCCCAGTTACCAGATCTTGTCCAAAAAAATATCATCCCTTCTGTCGTCGACAGCCTGCAGTAGGTCCTGTCTCGTGTACTCCACGTCTTGCACTGACTGGGTACATTGGTAACACAGTTTTTGTAAGGCCACTGAGTCGAGTAAGATAAATTTTCATACAAATCTTAAATCGTGATATAAATCGTCCATCCCCTGCAGGGGACAGACAGCCCTGCTATGGGTCCCTGTTCGTAATAGCTATGCTGACATTTCGTGGCTAATGCATCGGTTTAAACAACCTTCAGTACCGAGCAATTTTAAGACAAAACTGAGTAACTCTCAACTAATGGAATGCACTGGAAAGAGCAGGGCTGCATTCGCATTTCTTGCAAAGAGGGCTGGCTAAATAATGTTCTTTGCAATAACTGATATTTCCTTAATCACAAAGATACCTAAACTTTTTACTTGTAAATTCTTACGATATTCTTATTTCTAAGAAGATCCTACTTTTATATGGAGATGTGGTTAACTACCCAACTGTGCACATTTTCAAAATATACCAACGCTGTAAAGAGACGAGGTCCAAGTCGCCTCACTTGAACCGAAAAATCCAAACTTGATACCAGAGCCATAAGAGACTTGCTGGTTCACCTGCAGCTGTGCCATTCCCAAGAACGCATCTTTTAAAGGGTGAGAAAAGTTTAATAGTTTAGCAGCACTTCTTTGCCCTTCCCTGAGATGCAACTCTTAAAAGATAAGAAAAGTTTAATAGTTTAGCTGTACTTGAGCAAGTTAACTCTCCGATCCCCCCCCCAAAAATACAATTATATACGAAGTTATTTCTATGCTCCTCCAGCTTTGCACTGCACAAACATGAAGTCCGAAAATGGGGAAAAAATGTGTTACCAGTAGGTTTTTTTTTGTACGAGATTACCTGGTAACGATGAAGGATATATCATCCACACAGCGCATTCATCAGCTAGTATGATGTGGGTGAATTCCAAATGATCCATGTATAAATTAGCCAGAACTGCACTAATGGGTAGGCCTAAGGCTGTTAGCGCATGTATCTCCCGAAGTTGAAAACAGTTATAATTTATTGTAAGTTCTATAACGTCAACAAAATCTTTGCTCTTAATGATGGATTGCAGATTATCATGTAGCGGTACTGGCTAATTTATATATGGAACATCCAGAATCTAAGTGCCTCATACACAACATTCCCATTAATGTTAAATGGATGTGCTAAGTAGATGACGGTTAGATGGAAGTAGTTACCGACGCTTCTGTCTCCAACAAAGACTTAGTGAAAAGTAAGGACAGGCATATAATGCCACTACCAAGGCTGGCATGTCATCCTAGCGATAAGACAAAATATATAAAACATCTTTAACACTGCTAATATTCTAAACCCAACCAACAAATTCGCAGAATGGAGAGAGACGACCGCTTACTATTTCTCGACGTATTACTCCACAAGGGAAGCGAGAGATTCCTATTCCAGTTGTACAGGAAAGCCAGAAGATTGATTGAATATACTTTCATTACCATCACGACATGTCAGTCATTAACAATGGTACATTAGAAGTTACTAACCGGTAAAAAGAAAGATTTAGCAAGCATGTCTGTTACGCTGCCTATGTTGTTTATGTTAAGGATGCGTGTAGTTCACTTCCTGCAGTAGTTCATATAGTATGTAGTGTAGTGAGAGGTTAAGATACTGTAAAGCCTCTTTAACGTATTGACATTCATCTTACAGATATTGGAAACCTAAAAGTTACGAAATTCAATATAAACTGATACAAGAAAACAAACGTTTATTAGTCCCATAAACAAAGAACATAAGAAGCCACAATTGCAAACTAGGAAAAAAAAAACAATGCCGAATGGACATTAGCAGAGCCAGGAGCTGAGACTCTACCCTTACAACTACATATCGGTGAGTATGGATGCACGAATACACATCACGCATCACACAACACACACACACAACACACACACACACACACACACACACACACACACACACACACACACACACAACACACAAGCCTACAAAGAAGCATTTTATTCCTGGAACGATTTTTTTTTGAAAGCAAACAACTTGAACGTATTAAGTTAAATAGGAAAGTGCATTAGGTATTGGTGCAAAGAAGATTACTGACCTGGTCTAGGCGGAGCTGAACCTCTCCCTGACGACGCTGTGGGGGGAAGAAAACTCGTGTGAATAAATATAAAGAAATGCAGCTGGGCAAACGATGGGTAAAGGAAGAAGGATGGACAGTTAACTCGTATAATAATAATAGCAATACTAATACTACTAATAATAATAATAATAATAATAATATTGGGATTTTTGTTATTCTTGAGCACGTGTTCTTTCAGAAAGTTTACAAACGTTCACACACTAGGCCATAAATGCAACAACAACGATGATGAAGATGAAATACTAAAATTTATATTCAATAGAGACAAAAATGATCATCAGTCATGAGATCTAAAGAGAGAGATGTCCTTTCTGCTGAGACTTGAAAACATGAACAGATTCCTCACTCTAAACTGAGAAGAGGTAAAAGAAAAAAGATATACAGCAAGTTAAACACAAGGAAGGAGAAGCTGCAAGACAAGCTGGTGGAAAATAAAGAATTGAAAATTAATAAGCAGGGATATTTTTTTAAAGATTTAAAGAGTGTTGGGACAAATAGGTCAATCATCACTGTTGTCCTCAGCGGGAACGTGACACACACAAACTAAAATTAATTCTCCACAATAGACCTATTACTACGAAACAATCTCACGCCAGATTAAAACATCTCATAACAGCTTTAAAAAACTGCCTGAATGTTCAGTGTTAAAAGACTTTCCTAAAATTTTCTCCGAGGTCCTGATGAATACCCCAGCAGTCATAAAATGCTGACCACATATATGTGCCACACTAAGTGGCACATAAGTGAAACAGAGGGCAGGGGTGCCAGCAAGCAACCGTCGGTGACGTGAGTGTGACTTGTCTTTAATCTGCCCCACCGGGCCAGCATTTCCCAAGTACACGTCTTTTGACGAATAGGGATAGTAAAAAATTTTTAATAATATTTTTAAAAATAGTTACATTATAAAATTTTTGGTACAGAAACCACAAGAAATTTTAACCCTTTTCAAAGGGGTAACTACGAGAATATGGGTAAATTCTGCAAGCTAAAATACTGAGAGTCGATGCTTTCTTCGGGCCATGTACCAGAAGCCAGCCTCGTGGCTGGAACCGGCACAGGGGAATTGCAAATTCCCCCAAACTTTTTCTCATCCTTGATACAAATGGTTATAATCTAACCATAATATTGGGGAAAGGGTAAGGGCAGCAAAAAGGTTTCGGTCGGAGGGCCAAAAGCCCAGCTTTTTGGTCATTCGCCCGAAGTCAGGAAACACTTGCAAACCTTACCTTACCAGCCTAACTTCACCTCCCCCTTCATCTCCTTCCGAAATCATGTTCGCGTACTGCAATAAAAAATTTACTTCCTGTTATATGTTTATTATAATTAGAAAAATCTAAAAATTTTTCGTTATATTTTTTTTAAAACACCGCCCATCTCACATTTTGGGTTTAGCGACACCCCATAAAGAGGAAAACCCCTTCCGTCACTCTTAATCGCTGTCTTGCCAGATGTTACCTTTTTACACTCGGTAACTGAAGGAAATTAGGGACACTGGGAGGCCCCGGGCTTGGCCTGGGATGGAAGTACAGTTCCGCCCTTTAAGGAGGGGTTAAACTCGTTTTATAACGTAGTGAGTGCACCTTGGTAAGGGGCTGTGATGGAAAGAAAATGAAAAAATTTTCTTTTTTGGTGGTCTTACATAAAAAAATTGGGTTGTTTTTGCTTTGGGGAGGTCCGAATTTTTCTTTTTTTATGGAATAAAATTTTGGGAAAATTTAAATATTTTTCATCAATTTTTGATCGTTCCCTCCGATGAGCTTAACCCTCCATTTAATATAATTTAGAGCAGCATCAAGCTTAAAATTTATTAGCTTAAGGGTATTAGTTTTTTCGACGTCGACATACGTAAAAAATACTTTTTGCAAATTTTTAATTTTTTAAAAGTTTCACGTATTTTTAAAAAAAGTTACATGAAGCGTAAAAAAAAAATCAGGGAGAGAAATTTTTTTTGCATTCTTTAAAGCAAATCTTTTTTTAAAAATTGTGTCATATTTGGGCTCTCTATTCTAATTTTTCCATTTTTATTGAATTTAAAGTGTACAATAAAATGAAGAGATTTAGCATTCGATGAATCTCTTAAAATTTGGCCAAATTTTGGGCTCTGCAATACTGTATTACATTTTTTACTGAATAAATTTGTATATTAGTTTTTATAAACTTAAGCCGCACCTGTACTATTCCCAAACGTGTGCCGAGCCCAGGGGACGGGGTTATGCAAAACGGAGATCTTTTTCTGATCGTGCGGACAGATACCCACAAGATTTTTTTAAGCTGTGGATCGGTATCCAAAGAAAGGTCGGGGGGATGTGACCCTTTAAGGTGCAGTGGCTGGTCATCACGTGACTAGCAATAAACTTACTTGCCTATTCCGTGCAGGTCCTTCTCATATCCACCCACTTCTCAACATTCCTCACATGACCCTTCACGTCACTATGATGCCTATATATATACTCAAGTACATCTGTTTGTGACTTGTGATGAATGGTTGATGTTTGAGACACTTATGCAACATATGGGAATCTTTATTTAGGAAACGTTTCGCCACACAGTGGCTTCATCAGTCCAATACAAAGCAGAAGGGTGTAAGGAGAGGAGGAGTTTGAGGACTGATGAAGCCAGTGTGTGGCGAAACGTTTCCTAAACAAAGATTCCCATATGTTGCATAAGTGTTTGTGACTTGATAAAGTCCACTGTGTGGGCGAAACGTTGTCAATAAAGAAACACATTGTACTTCATGTGTGTGTTTTTCCATAAAAAATATAAATGTTTCTGCATTTATAATCTGTCGTCTGTCTTCTTATAATCCCTCCACCCCCCCCCCCTCTCTCTCTCTCTCTCTCTCTCTCTCTCTCTCTCTCTCTTAGATGTTTCCAATATTTTATCAATATATATTCTTCATGTGGCAACTTTTTTTTTACTTTCTCAATTTCTATTACGCGGCGCAACACTTATAAATACGTTCAAATACAACAGCTATTCGCAGCTTCACTTGCTCATTTAAGTTTCTTTTTTTAAAGATAAATGATGAAGTTCGTACGTGCGTGATTGCTCGCGCCATCTCTCGTGTATTTTTCACTTATTTTTGTAATTATTTATCACCTATTTTGTGTTGATATTTTTACTGTAAAAATACAACATTTGACAACTTATACTCTGTGCCAGTAATGAGGATCATGCAAAGATAAACACGCACACAGATACATGTGTAGAGAGAGAGAGAGAGAGAGAGAGAGAGAATGGAGAATGTAAGATTTAAACAGCACTCTGATCTAGTGGATCGCTCAGAGCTCTTGGCAAGAATATATATATGTCGTGCCGAATAGGTAAAACTTGCCATCTTGGCTTAAATAGCAACGCTCATCTTGCCATATAGGACAAGCAAAAATTTGTGTATGCAATAATTTCGCCAAAATCATTCTGAACCTAACGAAAAAAATATATTTCACTGTTTGTTTAGTATTAAATTATTGTAAACAAATCTAAAATATATTTAGTTGGGTTAGGCTAAAATAAATTGTTTTTGTTGTAATAAGGTTAGGTAAGTTTTCTAAGATTCTTTTGGTGCAAAATTATAAATTTTTACATCAACATTAATGAAAAAAATTTATCTTTAAACGCATAAGAGAAAATTTTAGAATGGACTTAATTTTAAATGAGTTCTTGCTAATGGACCAGTTTTACATATTCGGCACGACATATATATACATATAAATTATAAAATATTATTATTAATATTATTAACACACTGGCCGATTCCCACCAAGGCAGGGTGGCCCGAAAAAGAAAAACTTTCACCATCATTCACTCCATCACTGTCTTACCAGAAGGGTGCTTTACACTAGTTTTTAAACTGCAACATTAACACCCCTCCTTCAGAGTGCAGGCACTGTACTTCCCATCTCCAGGACTCAAGTCCGGCCTGCCGGTTTCCCTGAACCCCTTCATAAATGTTACTTTGCTCACACTCCAACAGCACGTCAAGTATTAAAAAACATTTGTCTCCATTCACTACTATCAAACACGCTCACGCATGCCTGCTGGAAGTCCAAGCCCCTCGCACACAAAACCTCCTTTACCCCCTCCCTCCAACCTTTCCTAGGCCGACTCCTACCCCGCCTTCCTTCCACTACAGACTGATACACTCTTGAAGTCATTCTGTTTCGCTCCATTCTCTCTACATGTCCGAACCACCTCAACAACCCTTCCTCAGCCCTCTGGACAACAGTTTTGGTAATCCCGCACCTCCTCCTAACTTCCAAACTACGAATTCTCTGCATTATATTCACACCACACATTGCCCTCAGACATGACATCTCCACTGCCTCCAGCCTTCTCCTCGCTGCAACATTCATCACCCATGCTTCACACCCATATAAGAGCGTTGGTAAAACATTCCCCTCTTTGCCTCCAAGGACAAAGTTCTTTGTCTCCACAGACTCCTAAGTGCACCGCTCACCCTTTTCCCCTCATCAATTCTATGATTCGCCTCATCTTTCATAGACCCATCCGCTGACACGTCCACTCCCAAATATGGAGGAGGTGAATGTATTCACATTCACCTCCTCCATACTCTCTCCCTCCAATCTGATATCCAATCTTTCATCACCTAATCTTTTTGTTATCCTCATAACCTTACTCTTTCCTGTATTCACTTTTAATTTTCTTCTTTTGCATACCCTACCAAATTCATCCACCAATCTCTGCAACTTCTCTTCAGAATCTCCCAAGAGCACAGTGTCATCAGCAAAGAGCAACTGTGACAACTCCCACTTTATGTGTGATTCTTTACCTTTTAACTCCACGCCTCTTGCCAAGACCCTCGCATTTACTTGTCTTACAACCCCATCTATAAATATATTAAACAACCACGGTGACATCACACATCCTTGTCTAAGGCCTACTTTTACTGGGAAATAATGTCCCTCTTTCCTACATACTCTAACTTGAGCCTCACTATCCTCGTAAAAACACTTCACTGCTTTCAGTAACCTCCT